AAATGCGGTCAGTCAACTACAAGAATACAACATATTTGTAACACCCATCAAGCATCCATTTATCAATAAAAATAAATAATAATATCATTATATTTCTTTATATTTTTTATCAATAGGTATTATAGACTTGCAGACATGCATGGCCTGCTCGTGTGTAATAAGGGGCAATATTTAAGCCATATTCAATTTTGTGGCCACATGTCTTTTATGTTAGTCGTCAATGATAATTAGTGTGTGTGTGATTATATGCGGGTACCGGACTACACTGCTGACCAAAAATAAAATACGCGATATTTTGATCAAAACACGCGTTACGGGAAAAACTCTCACGCATCGTAGAGAAGTCTGATTTAAATAATTTTTTTTCGTTGGAAAGGGGATAATTTTCCACAGGACTTATTGGGCTTTGATTTTTAATTTCGTTGCTTAAAAAACAAACATAATGAAAATAACAAAATATCGTGAAAATTGGTCATATTCAAAATTGTATTATATGGTTTAGAAATCGATTTTTGAAAATCCAAGTCCTGTAAAAAAAAAAAAATCATCGAAATCAGATCATGGTTTTAAAAAGAACCAAGGTGAAAATATTATTTATTATTTTTAATTTTATACGGCTTATACAATTTAATAATCCTAAATCCTGTGACGAAGGAGTTGCACTGTGAACTCTTAAGACGAGTATACGTTACACCAGCTATAATATAAATAAGAATAATAACAAGAAAAATACATACGCACAACGGTCGAATGTTAAGTGGGATATTATTATTGTGAATTAGTGAATGCTAATATGTAGGTACTTACTGCAGTTCTAAATAGTTATTATTCTATAGTATGTATTTTTGTCTTATTTTAAATTGTGCGGTTTTATTTTATATATACTTAAAAACTCTGTAAGTCGTGTAGACTTATATTACACTCTATGTATTCAGTTATTATCGTAAATGGTACTACTAGTATTTACTTTTTAGGTACCTATTTTGAATTTTCTATAGATGACTGGTAATAACCATACTTCTTAATTACATAATAATATCATCCCAAAAGGTGAGTACTTTTTTAGCTGATTGAGGACTGAAAAATGGCCTGTAACGCTAAAAAAGAAAAAAAAATTCAGTTACGACAATTTAAGTGTCAGATAATAGTATAATAATTGTTTTAACATATATTTAAATATTATTTACAACCATTTACACCGATTATTAAAGTTTGGTTCAAATTTTTTTTAAGATGTTCGTAATTTCCAGGAAAAAAATTTTTAGGAAAATTCACCGGAAAAGTAGGAAATTTTGATGTAAAAAATACAACAGGAGCTCAAAAGTGTATTATATATTTATATATTGGTTGCTATTGGTTAATCGATCATGTTTGTCGATTTGTATTAATATATATATTTATATATACATAAGTTAGGTTAGATAATTTTGTATTAATTGATTATATTAATCCACCGTTGGTGGAATTGAGTAAAAATGACAAACTTGGTATAATTTTGATACTCTAGGTCTCTAGGAACCATTATAGTTCATAACCTAGAGAACCAAAATTGATCATTTGACTATCAAAATGTTCAGAAAAAAAGCTTTACCGGAATCTATAAAAAAATATAGTGGTTACCATTTAAAAAAATAAAGTAGATTTTATTATTGGTACAACTGCGTGTTTAAAAATGTTAAAAATGTTATAAAAAAATTGATTGTTTAAAAAAAAGAAACAAGTGTCTTTTTTCGTCTTAACGAAATTCCATATTATTGATCCATAATTATTGAGAAAAACTCGCCTACAATGACTTAAGATACACCCTGTATATTTTTGTATACCTAGTAAATTATGCGTACATTTCCCCACCCCCACCCATTTCAATTTTTTAACTTTTTCCAACGCCAATATTTAGTGCTCAATTCCTGCCAATTCCTGACACCACACCCGGGATTCCGGCTCCAAAACACCCCCCGAAAAAATTAAAAAACCCTGGGTGGGGCTGGAGAAACGTTTCCCTGGTGTTA